TTTAAATCAATCAAAAGACATATTAACAAAAACGAGTAAACATATACAAACATAAACATGTACATTTAGCAACCATTTAATAAACAAAATATAGTTGACCTTTTATTCATAATATATGAAGTTGACCAAACTATAGGGTATTTTAAATTGAACAATGATCATTGAAAATGAGACCAGGGTCGGATTAAACCTGCCAGACTGACATGTACCCTTTACAACTATTCCATATACCAAATATGGTTGACTCAGTGCTTATGGTAGCACAGAAACTTAAACTATGATCCTTGATCCATGGAATGAGATCAAGGTCAGGTGAACCCTGTTGGACTGACATGTAAACCTTGCAAGGTTTCCATATGCCACATATATCCATTCTATTACTCATAATATGTGAGAAATTCAAATGACAAACAAACTACTAGTATACATTTTTTCCAAGTAGTCCTTTTAACCATGAAATTTAGGTCAAGGACAATGGACATATGACAGGCGGAAACTTCGTAACATAAGGTATCTATATACAAGGTATTATATCAAAAAAGAGTATGTCAAATTTGAAGAGCAAATAGATTTTGTCAAGGTGATGACTTTTTTTTTTATTATAGGTTACACTTTTAACCTAGCTGCTATAGTTTTCCAAAAAGCAGAAAAAGAATGCAAACATTTTTAAAAATGTATATTTCAGGGGGAAAAATTCACAAATTGGATGACAGATTTTTCTGAAAGTTTAAGGGTTATAAGATCTTGTCGTGCGGATCATCTTAGCAATGGCCTTTCAACCTCTTCATTTTTTATGAAAACAGTAAAAAACTAAAAAAAAAATATTTCAGGGACAATAACTCCAAAATAAGTCATCAGATATTCCATCAATTTTTATGGTAGATAAATCTTTTCGTGTTGATCCTTTTTTATTTTACACTTTCAAAGTAGCTTCTATAATTTATATGAAAGCAACCAACAACTGCTAAAATTTAAAAAGAATCGATATTTCATCTGTAATACATTGTATCTCCGAAATGAGAAGTTATATTTTTCTCCAATTTTCAGGGTAATTACATCTTGTCATGCTGACTGTTTTTGCTTTTTTAACACTTTTAACATAGCTTCTGTAGTTTTTGAAAAAATTGCAAGGACAAGCAAAAAAAATAACAAAGGTGCACACGCTGAAATGCCTCGCCTGCTTTACTCGCCATTGATATTATGTTGAAAGTCTTAAAGATAAAGGTTTTTCTACAAGTACATGTATATCACACAAACTTTACATTTTAAAAGGCATTGACAATGAGGTCAAGGTCAGATAAATCCTGCGAGACAGACATGTACACCATGCAATTATTCCATGACCAAATAAAGTTGACCTATTACTTATTGTAATTGAAAAACAGAGCAAACACAAAAACAAAACATTGACCAATGAACCATGAAAATGAGGTCAGGGTAAGATTATACCAGCCAGACAGATATGTACACATTACAATCATTCCATACACCAAATATAATTGACCTTCAGCCATTAGTATTTGAATAAAAGACTAAAACACACAAATTAAACATTGACCAATAAAACATGAAAATGAGGTCAAGATCAGATGATACCTACCAAGCACAGGTGTAGACCTAACAATCATTCCATACACCAAATAAAGTTGAACTATTGTGTATAGTACTTGAAAAACAGACCAAAACGAACAAACTTAACATTGACCATTGAACCATGTAAATGAGGTCGAGGTCAGATGAAAATTACCAGACTGACATACTTTATAATCATTATAAACTCCACATGTAGTTGACCTATTGTTTATATTATCCGAGAAACGGACCTGAGAACTTAACTTTAACCTTGATCACTGATACATGAAATGAAGTCGGTTAGGTGAATCCTGTCTTGCGGACATGAAGTCGTTACAAGGAACCCATATACCAAATATAGTTATCCTATTACTACTAATAATTGAAAATCACATGACAAAATGTTTTTTTCAAGCAGCCGCTGAACCATGAAAATAAGGTTAAGGACCATTGACATATATATGACAAAAGGCATTTTTCGCAACATAAGGTATCTGCATACAATATATTAAGTATATAGGTCCTCTGCCTTCTGAAATATAAAGCTTCATACAAATAGTTTTCACCGCCGCCACCGGATAGCTATCCATTTGTCTCGCATACTGCGACTTTCTGAGACAAAAAACAACATTTCAGGGGCAATAATCAAATCATGAGGACTGATTTTTCCAACATTTTTAAGGCGAAAAGAACTTGTGCTGATTATTTCTATCCTGTCAGTTTTCTCTTATAGCTGTAGATTGAGTGATATTAGCAAAACTGTAGTTTCATATGTTTACTTTTTAGACATGGCTGCCATGTCGGTTGATCAACCTGGACAAAAATCATTAACTTAATAGTTGACTTCCCACAGATGAAGTAGACAAACTCAATACATTGAGCAGTTATAGTCAAGATTTAAAAAAAAACTTTACAGAACCACCTGTTCTAAGTCAGGAACCTGATGTTCAGTGGTTGTCATTTGTTGATGTGGTTCATAAGTGTTTCTCGTTTCTCGTTTTTTATATAGATTAGACCGTTGGTTTTCCTGTTTGAATGGTTTTACACTAGTCATTTTGGGGCCCTTTATATCTTGTTGTTCGATGTGAGCCAAGGCTTCGTGTTTAAGGCCGTACTTTGGCCTATAATGGCTTACTTTTACAAATTGTGACTTGAATGGAGGGTTGTCTCATTGGCACTCATACCACATCTTCTTATATCTATTTACGGATGACAGATGACGGACTGACTAAGGACGGACGCATAGTGATGGCAAAAGCTCGAATGTCCCTTTAGGACTAGCAGGAATTTTTCAACATTCCAATCGAGCGATGAACCAATCTTATACATTATCAATAGTGCATTGGACTAAAAAATGTATGATCCAAAATGCTGTACAATTACACATGTAACTAAAAATTATTTTGTAGTAATATAAAATATTTAATTTTTCTACGCTCTATACTACTCCATGCTTCATGAAGATCTTATTTAACTAACTACTCATTAAACAGTACTTTTTTTCTATAAATTAATATAATCAAATTTCTTGTCATGTGAATAACCTCACTGACATCATCAAAACGCTCGACATTAGTTTTTTTGAGTTTGATTGATCAAGACAATACATATTCTAACGGGTATTTATTGTGAACACCTACTATATTTATGAAATAGAATTGATACAAAATCTTCTCCAAGACAAAAAGAAAGAAAAAACATCTTGTCATGTTCACATCCAGATATGATATATAATAGATGATGGCTTATCACTCAACAACCTATATTTCAGTGAGTGCTTGCATGTCATATATCCTAGTGACATTAAGACAGGTAATCTGAGAATGCAAGCTTACATTATAATTATTTGACGATGTACTTCGGAGAATACTTCTTGAAAAATTTTGTACAAAGTCCATGTTAATCAGATCCTGACATATGTCCCCCGTATTAAATAGAGAAAATCAAAGGATATGGGGTGTCCATCAATGACCCAAAATCAGTACACAAGTTCAATGCAGCATTTAAACTAGGAAGTGGCAATGTCGATGTCTTTTTTTCGAAAGTGCTACGAACGACATCCTGACAGATGACCACAAATATCTTCTATTGGTTTCATCAACAACCCAATACTCTTCTCCTCGAATATGACCACCAAAATGAAACATGTTATGAATTTGCATTTACCATGAGCAACACGACGGTTAACGCATGTGGTGCAGGATATGCTTACTATTTAGGAGAACCTAAGTTTAGTTGTATAAATATAGTGTTTTGTAGACTGTTGTTCGTCTCTGTTTTGCCATGGTGCTGTTGCCTTCTGCTCGACTTTCGAGTTTTGAGTGTCCCTTAGGTATCTTCTGTCTCTTTTTTTTTTAGAATACTGTTGTATAAAATTAGAAACATATTGTCGTCACACAAACTCCAATATTGATTACATTTAAAGCCAAGGAATACAATTGATACACAGTTAACGGTAGGTAAATCTATCGAATTCATATCAATACATTTGTAACGTCATCTTAAACAAGAATTTCAATGATTTTATAGTTGACAACATAAACAGTTCCTTTCTTTTATCTATTGATTATATTGATGGTAATTGTGAATTAATATGGCACAGTTTTATTAGCATAGCTATTACATTGACACAAGAAAAGGTATGACCCTGATAAATAAACAATTGTCATCGGGTTGAAAATTGTCACTGGTTTTTATACAGTATGACAGGTTTTGACTATTCCATGTTGATATTACATAAAGTGTTACAGTAAACAGAAAACAAACAGCCTTGGGTTTTCTGCTCTTTGGTAGGGTGGTTGTCTCTTTGACACATTGCCGATTTTCATTCACATTTTTACTGAAACTTTACACTTTATTAACCATTAAATGTATAATTTAAAGCTACTTTTATAATCATCGTTTAAGGAGATAAAGGAAGATGTGGTATGAGTGCTAATGAGACAACTCTCCATCCAAGTAACAATTTATAAAAGTAAACCATTATAGTTCAAGGTACGGCCTTCAACACGGAGCCTTGGCTCACACCGAACAACAAGCTATAAAGGGCCCCAAAATTACTAGTGTAAAACCATTCAAACGGGAAAACCAGCGGTCTAATCTGTAATCTATTAGGCATGTTAAAACAAATCTACAAAGGATTCTAACTAGACTATGCTGACTTTTACTTTCTGCAGTGTTAAATCATCATATTATCATTTCGCTTGATCAGACCCTAGATTTGCAAATAGCACATTGTATCCTTTCCCTTTTAGATGTCACAAATGAAAAGCTACACATGTTTAATAAAACCGAAAAATCTGATTTATTATTAAAAATAAATAGGCCATCTAAAGAAACCATTAGTTAATCAATACAATAATATCCTTAAAAACCTTTTCCTTTCTGAAATCTTTCATTGAAAAAATATTTTCCTTCATTGTTCACTTTTCATGGATGATATTCCCTTTACTTTCTTTGATATATAACCTCCATTCTGGAATGTTCATTGATAACAGCAAGTATGCCATTTTGTCCATATTCACTGGCAATTTGTATAGGTGAGATACCAAAAGTGTTACATTTATTATAATCTGATCCCTTCTCCAACAGCATTTTTACAATATCTATATGGTTATGCTGACAAGCAATATACAAAGGAGATGTTCCATCATCTACACACTTATCTATGTCTGCCTTATTGTCCAGTAATAGTTTGACTACTTTAATGTGATTACTGTAACAAGCTACAAACAAAGGAGATACTCCATCATCATCACACTTATTAATGTCCGCATTGTTGTCGAGTAATAGTTTGACTATCTCTATATGATTATTCTGACAAGCAATATACAAAGGAGATGCTCTACCATCTATACAAATATTTATGTCTGCCTTATTGTGCAGTAATACCTTAACTATCTCTTTATAATTATTTTGACACGCAATGTACAAAGGAGATGATCCATCATCTATATGTTTATTAATGTCTGCATTGTTGTCAAGTAATAGTTTGACTATCTCTATATGATTATTTTGACAAGCAATATACAAAGGAGATGCTCCACCATATATACAAATATTTATGTCTGCCTTATTGTCCAGCAATACATTAACTATCTCTATATAATTATTATAACACGCAATGTACAAAGGAAATGCTCCATCATCTATACATTTATTAATGTCTGCATTGTTGTCAAGTAATAGTTTGACTACCTCTATATAATTATTGTGACAAGCAATACACAAAGGAGATAATCCAGTATCTAAACACATATTAATGTCTGCCTTGTTGTCCAGTAATACCTCAGCTATCTCTATATGATTATTCTGACAAGCAACATACAAAGGAGATGCTCCATCATCTGTACACTTATTAATGTCTGCATTGTAGTCCAGTAATATCTTTACTGTTTCTATATGATTATGCTGACAAGCAGTATAAAAAGGAGATGCCCCATTATCTGTACACTTATCAATGTCTACCTTGTTGTCCAGTAATATCTTTACTGTTTCTATATGATTATGCTGACAAGCAGTAAACAAAGGAGATGATCCATTACCCTCACACTTATTTATGTCAGCCATGTTGTCCAGTAATATTTTTACTATCTCTATATGATTATTCTGACAAGCAGTATACAAAGGAGATGCCCCATTATCTGTACACTTATTAATGTCTGCCTTGTGTTCCAGTAATACATTTACTGTCTCTATATGTTTATTAAGACAAGCAATACACAAAGGAGATACTCCAGTATCTTCACACTTATTAATGTCTGCTTTGTTTTCCAGTAACACCTTTACTATCTCTATATGATTATAATCACAAGCAATATGCAAAGGAGATTTTCCTTCATCATTACACTTGTTAATGTCTGCTTTGTTGTCCAATAATAACTTTACGGTTTCTATATGATTATGCAGACAAGCAACAAACAAAGGAGATGCTTCATCATCCGTACACTTATTAATGTCTGCATTGTTGTCCAGTAATACCTTCACTATCTCTATAAAATTATTGTCACAAGCAATATACAAAGGAGATAATTTATAATTTGCACACTTATTAATGTCTGCGTTTTTATTAAGTAATACCTTTACTATCTCTATCTGATTATTCAGACAAGCAATAAACAGAGGGGGTACTCCATTATCTTCAAACTTGTTAATGTCTGCATTGTTGTCCAGTAATACCTTTACCATCTCTATTTGTTTATTAAGACAAGCAATACACAAAGGAGATACTCCAGTATCTTCACACTTATTAATGTCTGCTTTGTTTTCCAGTAATACCTTTACTATCTCTATATTATTATATTCACAAGCAATATGCAAAGGAGATTTTCCTTTATCATTACACTTGTTAATGTTTGCTTTGTTGTCCAATAATAACTTTACGGTTTCTATATGATTATGCAGACAAGCAACAAACAAAGGAGATGCTTCATCATCCGTACACTTATTAATGTCTGCCTTGATGTCCAGTAATATCTTTATTGTCTCTATCTGGTTATTCTGACAAGCAACATACAAATAAGATGCTCCAGCATCTGTACACTTATTAATGTCTGCATTGTTGTCCAGTAATAACTTTGCTATCTCTATACGTTTATTGTGACAAGCAATATACAAAGGAGATGCACCATCATCATCACACTTATTAATGTCTACCTTGTTATCCAGTAATACCTTTACTGTCTCTATACAATTATTGAAACAAGCAATAATCAAAGGAGATATTCCATTTTCCATACATTTATTTATGTCTGCCTTGTAGTCCAGTAGTACTTTCACTGTCTCTATACGATTATTGAAACAAGCAATAATCAAAGGAGATATTCCATTATCCATACATTTATTTATGTGAGCCTTGTTGTCCAGTAATACCTTTACTGTCTCTATATGATTATACTGACAAGCATTAAACAATGGAGATGCTCCATTATCCTCACACTTATTTATGTCAGCCTTGTTGTCTAATAATACCTTTACTGTCTCTATATTATTAAAACGACAAGCAATGGACAAGGGAGATATTCCATTATCATCGCACTTGTTAATGTCAGCTTTGTTTTCCAGCAAAACCTTTACTATCTCTACATGATTATTCTGACATGCAGTTAACAAAGGAGATACTCCTTTATCTTTACACTTGCTGATGTCTGCCTTGTTGTCCAGTAAAAACTTTACTATCTCTATATGATTATTGAAACAAGCAATATTTAAAGGAGATATTCCATTATCCATACACTTATTAATATCCGCCTTGTACTCCAGTAAAACCTTTACTGTCTCTATATGATTATTCTGACAGGCAGTTAACAAAGGAGATGCTCCGTCATCGATACACTTATTAATGTCTGCCTTGTTATCCAGCAATATCTTTTCTGTCTCTTTATGATAATTCCGACACCCTACATACTTATCTCCTTTATATTTACACTCATTAATGTCTGTCTTGTTGTCCAATAATACCTTTACTATTTCTATATGATTATTCTGACAAGCAATATACAAAGGAGATGCCCCATTATCCATACACTTAATAATGTCTGCATTGTTGTCCAGTAATACCTTTACTATCTCTATATGATTATTCTGACAAGCAATATACAAAGGTGATGCTCCATCATCCATACACTTGTTAATGTCTACTTTGTTGTCAAGTAATACCTTTACTGTCTCTATATGATTATTCTGACAAGCTATACACAAAGGAGATACTCCATTATCCATAGACTTATTTATGTCTGCCTTATAGTCCAGTAATACCGCCACTGTCTCTATATGATTATTCTGACAAGCAGTAAACAAAGGAGATGCTCCATTATCCTTACACTTATTAATATCTGCCTTATTGGCCAGCAATAATTTTACTATCTCAATACAATTATTATGACAAGCAATATACAAAGAAGATGCTCCATTATCCACACACTTATTAATGTCTGCCTTGTTGTCAAGTAATACCTTTACCATATCTATATTATTATTAAGACAAGAAATGTCCAAAGGAGATGCTCCACCATCCATACACTTATTAATGTCTGCCTTGTTGTCCAGTAATACTTTAACCGTCTCTATATGATTTTTGTAACAAGCAAAATGCAAAGGAGATATTCCATTATTATCACACTTATTAATGTCTGCCTTGTTATCTAGCAATATCTTTACTGTCTCTATATGATTATTATGACAAGAAATAAATAAAGGAGATGATCCAATATCTCTATACTTATTAATGTCTGCCTTGTTGTCCAGTAATACCTTTACTATCTCTATATGATTACTACGACAAGAAATAAACAAAGGCGATGCTCCATTATCTCTACAGTTATTAATGTCTGCCTTTTTGTCCAGTAATACCTTTACTATCTCTATATTATTATTAAGACAAGAAATAAACAAAGGAGATGCTCCATTATCTGTACACTTATTTATGTCTGCCTTGTGGTCCAGTAATAATTTAACTGTCGTTATATGATTTTTGTAACAAGCAAAATACAAAGGAGATATTCCATTATCATCACACTTATTAATGTCTGCCTTGTTATCTAGCAATATCTTTACTATCTCTATATGATTCTTGTAACATGCAACATACAAAGGAGAGGCTCCATCATCCATACACTTATCAATGTCTGCCTTGTTATCGAGTAATACCTTTACTGTATCTATATAATTATTATGACAAGAAATATACAAGGGAGATGCTCCACCATCCATACAAATATAAATGTCTGCCTTGTTTTTCAGTAATACCTTTACTGTCTCTATATGATTATTTTGACAAGCAATATACAAAGGAGATGCCCCATTATCTGTACACTTATTAATGTCTACCTTGTTGTCCAGTAATACCTTTACTGTCTCTATATAATTATTCTGACAAGCAAAGTACAAAGGAGATGCTCCACCGTTCACACGCTTATTTATGTCTGCCTTGTTTTCTAGTAATACCTTTACTGTCTCTACATGATTATTCTGACAAGCAACATACAAAGGAGATGCTCCATTATCTCTACACTTATCAATGTCTGCCTTGTTGGCCAGTAAGACCTTTACTGTCTCTATATGATTATTTTGAGAAGCAATATACAAAGGCGATGCTCCATTATCATCACACTTATTAATGTCTGCTTTGTTATCAAGTAATACCTTTACTGTCTCTATATGATTATTCTGACAAGCAATACACAAAGGAGATGCTCCATCATCTGTACACTTATTAATGTCTGCCTTTTTGTCCAGTAGTACTTTTACTATCTCTATATGATTATTATGACAAGCGATACACAAAGGAGATGCTCCATCATCTGTACACTTATTAATGTCTGACTTGTTGTCCAGTAATACCTTTACTATCTCTATATGATTATTCTGACAAGCAACATACAAAGGAGATGCTCCATTATTTGTACACTTATAAATGTCTGCCTGGTTGTCAAGTAATATCTTTACTATATTTATATGATTATTCTGACAAGCAATACACAAAGGGGATGCTCCATTATCTCTACACTTATTAATGTCTGCCTTATTGGCCAGTAATACCTTCACTGTCTCTATATGATTAAGCTGACAAGCAATACACAAAGGAGATGTTCCATTATCTCTACACTTATCAATGTCTGCCTTTTTGGCCAGCAATACCTTTAATGTTTCTATATGATTATTCTGACAAGCAACATGCAAAGGAGATACTCCACCATCCATACACTTATTAATGTCTGCCTTATAGTCCAGTAATACATTTACTGTCTCTATATGATTTCTGTAACAAGCAAAAAGTAAAGGAGATACTCCACCATCCGTACACTTATTAATGTCTGCCTTGTTATCCAGTAATACCTTTACTGTCTCTATATAATTATTCCGACTAGCAACATGCAAAGGAGATACTCCACCATCCATACACTTATTAATGTCTGCCTTGTTATCCAGCAATACTTTTACTATCTCATGTATCTCTTTATGGCCTTCCATTGCTGCTACAAATAAAGGGCTTATACCTCTACAGTTACACAGGTTAACACAAACACCATGGTTAATACACCAAAGAATAAAAGGAATATCCCCATAGTAACAACAAAGTATCAGTACAGTATGTTTGCTATTAATATCAATTTTCAGTGCTAATCGCCTCTGGTGTGATATTTCAATTTTTGTCAGGTAATATAGGAATTTGTGTCTGAACTTTTGTATCTTCAAGTTTATATTCATAAACACATAATCTACTCTACCAATTGACCAGTCATAAATCATTCTCTGCATGTACATTTGATGGTATTTAGTTGGTACAATAACGATAAACTGATCCATGTCATCTTTTCTTTCTAATAAAAATCTCTGCATAATAACAGCAGGGTGTGCATTCTTGATCAAACACAGGATAACTTTTTGTCCAAAATAGTATGCGAGAAAGTCAAATAATTTGTCATGTTTTGTTTTGAATACACCTTGTTCTTTCTTAATAAAAGTATGTTCAAGTGAATTTAGTTCATCAAGTAGGACAATTCGTGATGTTCCTCTGTCCAGTCTGCATGCCTCACAGGTTTTCTCAATGATCATTCTTGTTTGCATATTTATCTCTTCTGAAAACAATTCCTCCTTCAAGTTGTTGTTAAACATAACACACAAAGCCATTGCACAGTATTTTGTATAATGTCCTTTTTTATAAAGCTTGTCCATTTCAGTTTCGTATACCGAAAATGGACTCTTGAAGAAATTTGTTATAATGAGCTGAGGATCATCACTATACAATTTACAGAGAAGCGGAAAGCAATCATATAAATCACAGTACTGAATAATCTCTGATGCTTTTGTTTCCGAATAAATTTCAGCTATTGACGTTTTTTCTTTCCTTGTTAAACATAAATCTGTTGACTGCAGGTTACATACAGATGTCATGAAAATTGATAAAGATTCAAACTTTTGATCCTGGTACACTTGTAATCGACACGCGACAATAATTTTTGTAAGTTTGTTTTCAATCAACATCTGTATTTGTTCCATAACTGGTTCCCAATTGTCAAGGTCAGACTGGTTTATTGAATAAGTCCCACAAAAGTCATCAATTACAAACAGTGTTTTCTTATTTGGATTATAAAACTGGACAATATCATTTGGATTGGTAACTGGTAGTATATCATACCCTTCTTCTTTCATTTTTAATGCCACATGACGTAGAATGGATGTCTTTCCAACACCAGAACTAGCTGTTATAGTGACACAACTGTTTTCCTTGACACCTTTCAACACACATTTCGCAGCTCTGGTTTCAACAAAGTTATCAGCATTCTTCTGCCATTCATCCAACGACTTACTAATTAGCACTGAAACACCAAGGAGTAAATTATTGCCAACGATAATTTTTAAAACAATAAGTATTCATGATCATCATGCATTCATACAACTTATGACTCTGAATGCCCCTAGATGATGATAAATGCGTAGATGATGATAAATGCATAATGCATTTACTGATGGGAGCAACATTATATCTGTTCTGCTTAATTTGATCATAATTGAATTGTAAATTGAAAGTCTTAAAGATGGCAGTCTTTCTACCGGTATAGCATACACTTAACATCATCAATGATTCATGGCAAAGACGATGAGGTCATATGAACAATGACGGACAACCACGTAAACCTTACCTTAATTACATACACCCAAAATAAGTTCTTAATTCTAATACTTGTAGTATCTGAGAAAAGGACATCAATACACCAAATATTGTTGACCTATTTAAGATAAATAAAAATATATGTGTGGTTCTGGTTATATCAAAATATAATATACTACTCAGCAGGGCGCAGCATAATAGACGGTTAGATATAGCATATCAAAGAACCACAAATTCAATTTTATGAAATAAAACAAAGTTTAGTTTTGGACCCTTTGGACCTTAATGTGGAAAAATTTTAAAATGGGGCCTAATATAATAAATCTTAATACACAGTAAGATTTGGCATATATATCATAGAACCCAACTAATTCAATTTTATGGTGAAAACAAACAAAGTTTAATTGTGGAACCTTTTGACATTAATATAAACCAACTTGACAATGGGCCCCAACATCGAAAATATAAATACATGGTTAAAAGCAGTATACCAAAGAACCCTTATAATTCAAATGTTGATGAAATCAAACAAAGTTTAATTTTGGACCCTGATTTGGACGAACTAGAAACTGTGTCCAAAATCAAAAATCAAAATGTATGTTTTAATTCGGCTTACAAACCTGCTCGTGCATTTTTCATTGTTATTCAACGCAAAATAATTATGTAAGAGACCTGGGACGATCTCATTTCACAAAGGTTTTCTATTGTCTACTTATTGTACCTCGAACTTATTTACCCGGTGTAGGTCTTTAAGTTGAGGTTCAATTTACTAAAAGTTAATCGGGCATGACTAATTAGATACGCCCTCTTAAAACCATGGGGTCCGAAATAGGATCGGGAAAACACCCAGCAAAACACCATAATTTACAATTTTAGAATTTTTTTGATTCAACGTGCTTTTGGTTGCTTTAATATCTCCGGTCAATAATCAAAAGGTATTTTAGTAGAAATACTAACCTGTTTCGAACCGGGAGATGTTGGCTGCAATAGGAATTTATTTACAAAAAAGTTCATATATCTCATTAACTTATAGTGGCCGTTATTGGTTGTAAATTCATGACGTTTTGTTTTTGACATTCGTTTACCGTGGAAGAAAAAAGGGAAGGAGCTAATAGCTTAACTTACGACTTCGACCATGGTTCAACTGTATTCTTTTACGGCATACGTTTTACCTCAATCGAACGCTCTGCCTTATTGTAAAAAGTGCCACTCTAAAATTGTAATCATTTGCTTCAGGTTGACCCACTCGTCGTGAATATGCATGACATATTTGCCACTGGACATAAATGGAGCAATTAATTTATCAGCTTTATTTAGTTATGCATTATCATTTGTCTTCAGTTTATAATTGTCTCTAACAGTTCCTAATTTCAAATATTTCAATTTTATTTACATTTGCATTTTTAAGCGTAAATCTTAGCATTTCTGCCATCATTTTTCTCTTTGCATTTAACCTTTTTTTTAACATTTAAAAACGTTGTCGTAGTACACATCAGGGGTTACATTGTATCCTTTCCAGCAAAACTAATAGGAGAGGGGATTAGAACAGAAAAACAATCTTCATTGAGTGGCAATAACTCTTATATTGAAGCGTACAATGACGACTGTCTCGTCTAGGTGACAACATCTGCTGTTTAAAGTTTATTTATACCTCACACTGGTATAATAGTTGACATAAAAGCAAAAATGGATAAAAAAAAATGTTGACATTAGTTTATGAAGGGTTCAACTTATTTTGAGCATTTCATTTATTTTTTTTTAGATATTGTCTCCCTAATCGGTTTTGTTAAATTTTTTTCATCTACAATTGTCCTGGCAAAAGTGGCAGAAAAATGTGTTAAAATCAGCCATGCGACTTATTTGAAAAGATTTAGCCAATCTTTCTTGTTGTTTACACATTTCAATCATTCAACTCGTGCGTAGATCGTATTTCCCTCTAATGTTTTTAACGTATAGATAGCGTGAAATTCCCACTACACCAGTCATCGGAAATACATTCCTATTTCGATCAGACAAAGCTGCGCATTTATATATCCGATAAGCAAAACGAACGCACCCAAGGCAAGGGTATACTGTGGGACGGGAGAGGTCCAGACATGTCAATATCTCTATACCCAAGTGAATCATATTGTTTTGAATAAAAGGATATAAAGGTATATATTAATGCGACAGCAACCCAAAGGCACAGACAAATCAAAATATTAAGCTTCAACATTCAGTTTTTATAGAAAGATGCGTATACAGAATAAAAAGCTCAAAACCGCCCCAATGACTAAATAATAGTTACACGGAGTTAAGTCAATAATATTTACCGTCAAATATTATATATCCCAAAAGGCACATTTGATTTAATATTATTTACCGTCAAAGGTATCCCAACAATCACAAGAATTGTTTGGTTGAAAAATTTCACCTGCCCAATTTTAATTTTGATCGGTGAAAATTTAAGAAGTTGTACTATAAACCAGTAGAAGAAAAACACTTCACTGTATAATATAACGGTAAATTAATGATGATAATGGATGACCACCAGCGGCAAATAAAATGAATATTCAGGACGATAACATTTAAATATGATATGAGTATTAACTCCGCTTTTTACTAGACTGACACGCTGAGTCGTTTTTTTTAACGTGTAATTTTACAAGATATTAGTTCGCAGTAAGAAAAGTTACCCGACCTGGACACATTTCCGACTCTGAGCCGACCAATCTGTGCTGTTACTCTATGATGCCAGGTGTTTAGCGTTGAAATAGCAAATACCAATTTAACGTCTTTGTTTGGCCCGGTCGGGATTCGAACAAACGACCTCCCGCTCTCGAGGCGAACACTCTCACACGTGACCAATCAGAAGAGCGGTAGTACAGAATATCATACCAAAAAAAATCAAGTACAATAAACAAAACAGTTTCACAGAATTCTGACAGTTACTAAAGCGAGCTAAAAGTATCTAACCTAAATTGGATGCGTGAAATGATATTTCAAACTACACGTAAACATCGATGATCGACATCAGAGAAGATTTCATGGATCAACGCTCTCGGCAAATTAAAAACTCTTGCACCAATTATTTGTCAATGAGTGGTCCGAATGTGACCAGCTGTTGCAAGTCTAAAATTTTGTACTTATTCAATATACCCTCATTTTCCAGTGGCATTTTAAAGTTTCACGTCCACCCTCACTGTTGACCTCCTATTGCACGACCTACCCATTGTATTTAAATCTATTTGTTATAGTGATGAACATGCATGAAATATTTGCCACTGGACGTAAAGCTAACAAAAATCAATCAACTTCATAAATTGTTCCATGTACTTAGCACACAAAGACAAGATCTTGTAAAATGCTTTAATGTACAATTTCCATTTAAATTTTTATTGTTTTTTGGGTTTTTTTTTTCTTTAATTTATTACATGTACATTACTGACTGCTTATAAAAAAGTTTTAAATACTTTTTACTATGCTTCTTGTCTAATGTTTTAATACGATTTATAACATATGATTTTTTGTCAGGCAAGGATAAAACTAAGAAAGGTAAAGTTTTTTCAGGTGTTTTTGCTTCATTTAGACAAGAACAGGGAATAACGGACGACTAGCATAAAAGAGTTTGTTTTCATATAATACACTAAACTTGCGAAAATATCTCAACTCAACACGTTTTGATCTGACTAGTGAAACCTTGATGCTATATATGTTACAATTAGGTTTTTTAATACGATTTTATTCAATGAAGTTTGCATGCATAGTTTTTATTTAAAAAAAGCAAGATCTATTAATTAATTGGACTGAACAGACATCACTAATTATTTTGCATTCGCATGTAACGTAGTGTTGGCAAATTACAGAATCAAAAACAAAATGAACATTTACCGGATGAATAGTGTGAAGGGCCTTATACATCTAGGTCTGTTCGATTAGAAATTCTGAAATTCTGAAACAAGCAGTTTAAAAAGTTAATTGTCGGAAGAATTTACTTACTGTTTTCTAAGATCTGGTCTTTACGAATCTATTTCATGATTATTGACAGATTAAAAACAGCAAATATATATAACAAGACGTTGTTGTGCA